GATAGTTTTTACATCGGTAAATACCTCAGAGATGATTAGACGCGTAGGATGATTGGATGCGTGTAAATCAGGTTGATTAGATGCACCATGTGATTGGATGCAGTCTAGGGTAGGCAGAAGTTAAGACCTATAAATCAATCACTTTCGAATCCTCCCTCAAGTGAGCAAGTGTTCTCTGCTTCGTTCTCTCCGGTCTCTCCGCTTCGTTTTCTCTTCGCCTCGCGCTCAAGTTACAACAGGTTATGAGCCCAAGCGCCATGTCGTCCAACAACACCTCGGCCAGTGTCTCCATCGATAAGTTCGATGGGGACAACTACTCAACCTGGTGTCGCTACATGCGCGGCGTGTTTCTGACGAAGTCAGTCTGGTACGTCGTGAACCGCGAAACGTCTCCAACCTTCACCGACACGCGAGCTTCCGACGAGTACGTCAAGGCGAGCAACATCGCGTTCGGGTTGATGTTGCTCCACATGGACGCCGACTACCACCATGTGGTCGACAACTGTGAAGAAGCATGGACAGCGTGGTCGCGGTTGAAGATGCTCTATGGTGGGTCGCAGAAGGCGGGACGCATCTACCTCAAGCGCCAGCTGTTCAGCATCAAGATGGCGGAAGGTGCCAACGTCTTGCACCATTGCAACGAAGTCTTGAACATCGGCGCCAAGCTCAGCAGCATCGGTGCCAAGATGGAAGACGAAGACATTGCGATCTGCTTACTGCGCAGTCTGCCCAATAGTTTCGAGAACGTGGTTCTCAACTTGGAGATGAGCAATGCAGAGCTGCGCACGCAAGATGTGGTCAAGGTGCTGACTAACGAGCACATCAAGCGACAAGGCGAGAAGATGACAACGGCAACGACAACGGTGAAGACTGAAGATGCGACAAAGGCATTCAGTACCGAGCGCAAGCCCTACCAATGCACATACTGCGGCAAGGTGGGGCACACGGCAGAGCGTTGCTGGACGAAGCAAAAGGATGAAAGTCGAGGAGCCCAACGCGGCGGCAATGGTCGTCGACGCGGGTCAAACAATGTCCACTGGCGACATTATGATGAAGGCAACAGCTACGATCGAGTGGCGTTTGCAGTTTCGTTCGAATGCGGAGTTTCGACGAACAAGAATGGACCAGGAATGTGGGCCGTTGACAGCGGGGCAACACATCACATCTGCCACGACAAGTTCAAGTTTGCAAGCTTGGTCGAAGGCAATGATGGCGAGATCCTGGTGGCTGATGGCAACAAGGCGGCCATCAAAGGTGTGGGGACCATCGTGGAAAAGGTGATTCTGCCAAACGGGGAAGAGCGCGAGATCGAGATCAAGAACGCGCTCTATGTGCCCAGCATGAGCAAAAATCTGCTCTCGGTGCCGCAGATTAACAAGCACGGCAACTTCCAAGTGGTGTTTGACGGGGATACGATGTACGTCGCTCGCAAGGATTCCAATCAAGTGGTGGCAGCTGCGGATCTTGTAGACGGACTCTACTGGCTTCGCACGACGCAGCGATCGGCCAATGCGACATCACTCAGCAACGCTGTTGATCTACATGCGCGAATGGGCCATGCTCCAGTAGACGTGCTTCGCAGGATGGTGACAAGCCACATGATCAAGGACGCTCACATCCCTTCCAAGCCGAATGGATCAAGTGTGTGTCGAGGATGCCAAGAAGGGAAGATGGTCCAAAAACCATTCCCGAGCAACCGTGACAAGCGCACCTACAACACCTTCGAGATGCTCCACTTCGACATCTGCGGACCCATGGAAGAAAAATCTCTGGGTGGCAGCAAGTATCTGCTGCTGATCGTGGATGAAGCCAGCGGATGCATGAAGGGTTTTTGTCTGCATTCCAAGTCAGAGAGCGAAGAGTGCATCAAGAAGTACATCACGATGATACAGACGCAGTTCAACAAGAAGGTCAAATTTGTGCGACACGATGGAGCCCGCGAATTTGCGACGAACTCGCTTCAAGATTTCTACGAAGTCGAAGGCATCGAGCAACAAACCACGGTGCCATACGCACATCAAGCCAATGGAACTGCTGAACGCGCGATTCGAACTATCGTCACCATCGGTCGTAGCATGCTCCATCATGCCAAGTTGGACAAGTGCTTCTGGGCTGAAGCGGCAATGACGGCCGTCTATGTGAAGAACCGTTTGCCGTCACCCAAGATTCCACACAAGACACCGTTCGAGATTGTCTACAATTCTAAGCCAAGTGTCAAGCACATGCGCGTTTTTGGGTGCCAAGCATACATCTTGACCCCGAAGGAGAAACGACTCAAGTGGGATCCCAAGGCCCGGGCTGGATTGTTTTTGGGCTACGAAGAAGTGTCCAAGGCGTATCGAGTTTACGACATCGAAGCGGGGCAGGTGATGATAAGTCGCGATGTCAACTTCGATGAGTCGGCCTTTGGAATGTCGATGATGATTTCCGATGACGATGTTGATGGCCTGGACTTCGAATCGATCGATCTTGATGATGAAGAACCGCGTCCGAGACACTTCAAACAAACAGGAAAGCGCAAGGCCCAACCCAGTCACGACAATGACGACGCAAGCATGCCCCGAGCAGTGCGCCAACGACCCGGATTGGAAGAGTCAAGTGCGCCGGATGACCTCTCTTCACGTCGAGCCAACGAAGATGAAGAAAGGAAGTCGGAGGAACAACATGACACACCGACTTCCTCCGCGTTTTGGCATGCGAGTGCAAACGCCGTCGAAGCAGCGGTCGATTTTTCGGAGCCGTCGACATTTGAAGAAGCAGTGTCTGGCCCGGACCAAGTACACTGGCGCAAGGCAATTGATGCGGAGCTCGATTCGATGAAGCTTCGCGGTGTCTTTCGTGCGGCCAAGTTACCCAACGGACAAAGCGCCATTGGCACAAAGTGGGTCTTCAAGATCAAGCGCAAGGCGGATGGGTCGATCGAGAAATACAAGGCACGACTTGTGGCCAAGGGTTTTCGCCAAAAGTATGGCATTGACTACACGGAGACGTTCTCGCCCGTGATCAAGTATGTGACGCTGAGAATGGTCATCGCCATTACCAAGCACTTTGGATGGCCCCTCGACCAGCTCGATGTGGTGACTGCGTTCCTGTATGGAGTGATGAAGGAGAAGGTGTTCTGCGCTGTTCCGGAAGGCGTCAAGATGGAAGGTGATTTCGACTGTCTCGAGCTGATCAAGGCGATCTACGGTCTCAAGCAAGCCTCGCGTGTTTGGAACGAGACCTTCGACGAGTTCATACGCTCGATTGGTTTTCAAGCGTCGGGATTCGATCCATGTCTCTACATCATGACTTCGGAAGGCCATTGTGTTTTTGTGCTGGTCTACGTGGACGATGTCTTGGTGACTGGAAGCTCGCTCGAGATGATTGCGCGCACCAAGAACGACCTCAAGACACGCTTCGAGATGACGGACAGCGGCAAGTGTGCCTTTGTTCTTGGGATCGAGTTATTGGACGGTGAAGATGGCAGCGTGACTATGTGTCAGCGCCGTTATGTCGACGATGTCCTCAAGCGCTTTGGAATGGATGAGTGCAAGGCTGTGGCAAGTCCGGTGGACGTCAGCTCTCGACTGGTTCCAAGCAACTCTGCAAGCAAGGTGGATGTCCCATTCCGTGAAGCAGTGGGTGCTTTGATGCATCTGACGACTGCAACGCGACCGGACATCGCCTATGCTGTAAGCTTTGTGTCACGGTTCATGGAGAAACCCCAAGAAGAACACTGGGTTGCAGTCAAGCGCATCTTCCGCTACCTACAAGGCACCAAGATGCATGGAATCTGCTACAAGCCAAGTGCGAAGATCGACTTTCGTGGCTATTCAGATGCAGACTGGGCCGGTGACCTTGCTGATCGCAAATCGACGTCCGGCTACGTCTTCATGCTATTGGGTGCTCCGGTGAGTTGGGGCAGCAAGAAACAGCCAAGTGTGTCACTGTCTACAAGCGAAGCGGAGTACATCGCGCTCAGCCTGGCGATCCAAGAAGGCAAGTGGATCAATCGCTTGCTGTGCGAGATCATGGCGGCTGCAAACGAAGAAGGACCCGAGCTCGTCATCCGTGAAGACAACCAGTCGTGCATCAAGATGACGAAGAATCCGGTCAACCACGGCCGCGCTAAACACATCGACATCAAGTACCATCACATCCGTGATGAGGTCTAGCGCGGCCAAGTCAAGCTCAAGTACTGTAAGACTACGGTGATGTAAGCAGGCATCATGACCAAGGCACTTCACGGACCGCGTCACAAGAACCTGACACAGGCACTTGGCATCCGCACGTGTTTGCATTGAGAGGGGGGGGTATTGAGGGTAACCGGTACAATCCGAACCTAGCGCGTAGTTCTTACGAGATAGTTTTTACATCGGTAATTACCTCAGAGATGATTAGACGCGTAGGATGATTGGACGCGTGTAAATCAGGTTGATTAGATGCACCATGTGATTGGATGCAGTCTAGGGTAGGCAGAAGTTAAGACCTATAAATCAATCACTTTCGAATCCTCCCTCAAGTGAGCAAGTGTTCTCTGCTTCGTTCTCTCCGGTCTCTCCGCTTCGTTTTCTCTTCGCCTCGCGCTCAAGTTACAACAACATCGTGGCCTATTAAACCTGCTGGTGATGGAAACGCAGCAGCTGCAAAGATGATGAGGAATCCAACGAAGCCTCTATATCTGAGCACGTGATTCCGGAGGCACTTAGTTGTTTGGACGTGTCGGCACCAGCTAAAGAGATAAAAAAGGGGTAGAAAGAAGCACATTACAAGGAAGAGAGTGAGAAAGGATAAGGTGATGACGTTGTGGTGGTTGTGAATATTAAAATTGCTGCAGGGGGCTGGTGAATCAAGGCTACACGTGCTTTCAGAATGTTATCATGCAGTCTGTGCTGGTTTGTCCGCCGTTTTTAAAGTAAGTTGTTTTGTGCTGGGCTGTTACTAGTGTTCCCTTTGGTGTGCTCACTGTGTGCAATTTGTTGGTCGAGATTTCGACTGCTTGTCCACCAACGACTCCAATGTTGGCGAGTACATCGACGTTCAAGGCGTGGCGACACATGGTGGTGTTTACGCGCGAGTTTGAAGAACCGACGCTGGCTCAATGTACGTCGAGCATCGTTTTTTTGTAGGTGTTGATGGCGTAAGCGTTGTAGGCAGTGCCAAATGATAGTGCGTCGTTTAAATTGTTTCGATGAAACAGTGCAGGCTCAAGTCAGTCACGGTGACCGAAAGGCCAACGATACGCATGGCAAAGCACCACAGGCGATTCGTATTAGTGGGTACTGCATGGGCGTATTGAGTGCTTTCCAGAAGATGTGCGGAGACCAGGAAGATGCACTGGAGTTTTTGGAGTTTTTCTTGGAGTAGTTGCACGCAGAATACGATAAGAGTGGTCTGCGTTTGCCTGCCTCGTTTGAAAAGCAGACAAAGCGGGCTCCTTTGATCGAGCAGAATGAAGCTAGTGTGGACGCGGACGCTAAGAGTGCTCAAGCGTTCGATGACGGCTGGGCAGAGGTTGGTAAGAAAGGCAAGAGCAGCGTGCTACATCAGAATCCTGTCGACACAGTCCACTCGCCGATAATTGGATGTTTTAGGGTGCACTACGTTTAACGGGGTGAATCGTTACATAACAATTTATAAGAAATTGTTAATAGAATATAACTATAAGAGTTATATTCTCAGAATATTGTCATAAGGACAATATTCTGTAGCACTTCCAAGTAGTTCCTAATTGGTTGATATAGGCCATTATATCAACCAACGAAGACGCGCCACGACAGACGCACGCAATGAGTGGTGAGCAGATAACTGATTTACACATTTGTATTTAGACATAGTTAGATGAAGATAAATAGTGATTTATTGCAGACATTAACTATTATAAATACAGTTCTACTTTTTACTCTAACCAAGTACTCGCTTCTTCTTACCGTCTTCCTCTGCACGTACGAGTGTACGTGAAGTTACGAGGCACCGCCTTATTCTGTTATCAGAATAAGTAGCTTGTACTGTCACCAGTACAAGCTTCAGGGTGCCCCGTTACACCTGGTAGCACTTTGTAGTCCGTCCAAGGACCGCGTTCACATCCAACATGAATATGTTGGATGATGAAGATGACCAAAGCTTTCACGCTACGCGTGACGGCTACTCCCATTTGAGCGATGTCGAATGGGATGCGGTTGAACGAATGGGTTCGACCATGGGCATCCATGCTGTTAGCGTCATGCTAGAGGCTCTCAATAGAGATGCCCAACATGCTACTATCGCCAAGTTCATTCAAAATGAACTTGACGCAGAACGCGAGAAAGTAGCCTTGCTTCACCAACAAGGTTCTCAACAAGCAGAGTTGTTGAGAGAACAAGGTGCTCAACAGTTTGAACTGTTGAGACAGCAGCAGGCTGCTGCTGGCGGGTCGATGCACTCGCGTCGGCCCGAGACTTTGAAGATTGACATCTCAAAGTATAGGGGGGTCGAAGAAGACTCCCTCTTGAGATGGTTCGTCGAATTGGATGACGCCATAAGGGCGCGTCGCATCGACGACGGGGATATGCAAGTTGCATTTGCCCAGTCAAATCTGGCAGGACGTGCCAAGACTTGGGCACTGGGGCTCAAGCTGCACGACCCATACGCGTTTGGGTCGTTGGAAGTCTTCAAGTCGCGGCTCAGACAAACGTTTGAACCGCCTAGAGCTGAGTTCAGAGCTCGAACCGAACTCTTGAAGCTCAAGCAGGGTAAGCGTGATGTGCACGCTTACGCTCAACATATACGACATCTCACGAGTTGTATAAGTTCCAATCCGGTGGATGAACACACGTTGGTTTCGGTGTTCATGCAGGGTCTTGCGGATGGTCCCGTCAAGACTCACCTGTTCCGGCTTGAACTAGATTCACTAGAACAAGCCATTTCAATTGCGGAGCAGGAAGACTTCAGTCTGAGACAGGCTCGCGCCAGCTCGACATCATATCGTCAACCGAGACGATATGACAACGGAGGTCCAGAGCCGATGGAACTCTGTTATGTAGAGAGCGAGAAGGCTCGCTCTACAGGCTACAAGAAGTTGCAGAGATGCAACAGATGTCAAAAGACAGGACACTACGCTTACGAGTGTAGTGCCCCTCGTCCAGTGTCTCGCGACACTGGGCGTAGTGACCGTCCACCCATGAGAAAGGGGCAGGGACGAGGGTCCGCAGTTGGTGCAAAGACGCAACAACGGGATGGACCGTCAAAAAACGGACAGGATCAGTAGGTGCGGAGCACCCTACTGATCCAGCAACGTCAAGAGAATTTGTAGGCCTCTTGATGAAGGTTGCTCCCAACACACAGACATTGTGCGTTGCTGCTCTAGGTAATGAGATCTCACTCATTACCTTGAAACTCGAAGTGACGAATAAGTTGTCCCTTCGAGCTCTAGTCGATTGTGGGGCGTCCAACAATTTTGTGCGACGCCAATCGCTAGAAGATGGTCACTTTAAATTCAGTGAATGTGACACACCTCCTACGAGGATGACGGTACGTCTTGCGACAGGCGCATCCGTAACCGTCATGAAGCGTATAGTGAAGATCCACTATACGCTAGAAGATACCCAATATGACGATGACTTTATCGTATTGGATTTGGATGACAAATTTGATGTCATCCTTGGAATACCGTGGCTCAGAAGGTACGAACCACGGGTAAACTGGCAACATCGGACAGTAACGATGACTGCCGCTTGTACATCAGATGGCCATCTGATGAACGTTTTGGAGCGTCCACAAGCGTGTGGATGTACTACGAGTGAGTGCGATGGCCTCACTTGTGGTACGGTCGTTAGTACGACTGCACAAAACCTTAGTGTACCAAACGGTTAAACTTCGGAGCAAAGTTCCGGCGGCTGTGAGGAAACACAGGCTGCGCCGAAGGTCCACCACTCGAATAAGTCGGGTGGACTGGGACAAAGATGTATCCCTAGCGGGGAACATCTAGAAGAGAAACAATCGATCGCTCAGGTTAAGCGAAACGATAATCCTAGATCGACTGGAGAGTCTTTCGTAGAAGATCTCGCTGTGGTTGCGCAACCCCAGCTAGAGGAAGTAAAGGGAATAAGTCCCGATATTACAAAAGCAGTGGAAATAAGTTCCCCTTAAACCGAGGGAATAAGTCCCCGGGAAGCCGAAGGAATAAGTCCTTCGAGGCCTGAGGGAATAAGTCCCCAGGAAATGACAGAGACATTGAATGTCATAGTCAATAACGGATCAAGTGTAGGCGCTTATACACTTAATCTGATTGCGCCTCCGAAGTTAACTTCGGAGATCACTCAGTTGCCAACTCTCGAACGTAAAAGGTTCTTGCGTGATCTGTGTAGTGGCAAAGTCAAGCAGATCTGCATACTCGTCGCTGAAGACGAGTATGTAACCGACATAAGGTCAGCAACAGTGTTTACTGAGAACGAGAGAGTTCTCAGTAGTCCATCTATGGACGAGAGTGTCCTAGATGAAAAGACACGAATTGAGCGATATGAGTCCCAATCATGGGAATCGCTCAAGGAAAATCCTCTCTATGAAGATTTGGTTGAATTCAAGGATGTATTCCCTGAAACTGTTCCGTGCGAATTACCGAAGGATAAAGGTATTCGACACGAAGTCGAGCTTAAACCAGGCTCGAAGTACTGTGTCATGAAGCAGTGGCCACTGCCTCGTGAACAAGTACTTGCGATCGACAAGTTCTTTGCCGATCGTTTAGCAGCGGGCCATGTGAGGGAATCAACTTCCCCACATAGCTCTCCGACCTTCTGTGTGCGAAAAGCAACAGGAGGGTGGCGGATAGTGCACGCGTTTAACAAATTGAACGCTGCAACGGTACCGGCTCAGACGCCGATACCGAGGAAGGACGTAATCATTGATGGTATGTCAAAGAGTACCATCTTTTCGTCCATGGATTTGATGGATGGCTTCTATCAAATCCTAATGCGGGAACGGGATATACCCTATACCGCAGTTAGCACGCCTAGCGGCATGCTCTGGGAATGGCTAGTAATGCCACAAGGGCTCAGTAATGCCCCTGCCACGTTCAACAGGTGTGTATCACATCTGTTGAGGCCAGTACGAGAATTCGCGCCGAGTTATTTCGATGACGTATTCATCCATAGTCGAGCTATGGATGGAAAGTCGGACGTTGAGGTTCACAAGTACCACGTCCGACAAGTTCTTACAATCATGCGAAAGCATCAATTGTATGCAAACCTCAAGAAGTGTATATTTGCAGCAAGCGAAATACCACTTCTTGGGTGCATCGTTGGTAAGAACGGTGTACGTCCTGATCCCGAAAAGATCAAGGCGATCACCGACTGGCCCGTGCCGGTCGATGTCAAAGGTCTTCGAAAATTCCTTGAGCTAGCGGCGTATTTGCATAAGTATTCACGCAATTACGCCGAGATGACTGTACACCTCTCTCGTTTGTTGAAAAAGAACGAGAGGTGGTTATGGAACGCTGAATGTCAACGCCTTTGAGGGTATCAAGCAGAGCTTGATACAATCCCCAGTCCTAGCAATAGCCGATCAGGACAGGCCATTTCATGTGGTCTGTGATGCCAGCGATTTCGCAATCGGCTGTGCATTAATGCAGTACGACCTTGAAGGCGTTGAACGCGTCGTCTGCTATCAGTCGCGTCAGCTGCAACCAGCTGAGCGGAACTATCCAGTGCATGACAAGGAACTCCTTGCCATGAAGTATGCACTCGCGAAGTTCAGAGTCTATCTATTAGGAGATAGACCCTTCGTTGTTTACACTGACCATGCGTCCTTACGCACGGCAGTGAACAGCCCGCACCTTTCACAACGAATGGCGCGGTGGTTGTCATTCTTTGCAGAATACAACTTTACGGTCGAGTACAAACCAGGACGACTTAATGTCGTCGCTGATGCACTCTCACGTCGTCCCGACTTTGAAACAGTCATGAAACCCAACAGTGAGACAGTCACTGTTGCGGTTATGACGTCCTCAGTTCCATCTACAACGTTGTATGATGATGTGAGGCGGGCATACGCCCAAGATGGTGAGATAGTGAAGTTGTTGTCACATCTCTCCCAACCATCTCGAGAATCGTTGAAACGATTGTCGTTCTGCGTATCGATCTGCATCAGATCGATACACTACTCGTAACGGTTTACTGTACTATACAGCCGTTTCTGGTGACACACCACGTGTTGTCATTCCAGATGATACTGATCTGCGTTTGCGGATCATGTTCGAGTATCACGATGCTCCTATAGGAGGACATCGTGGCCGAGAGAAAACATATCTCACGGTAAGTCGAGACTTTTACTGGCCCCGCCAGTATCAGTTTGTGCGAAAGTATGTTCGCGCATGCGAAGTCTGCCAACGAGTGAAGTCAAGTCCTTCACTGCGTGCACCTTTACAGCCTCTACCGGTTCCGGCTGAGTGCTGGGAATCCATCTCAATGGATTTCGTCTTCGGGTTACCCAAAGACGCACGCGGGAATACGGGTATTCTCGTATTTGTTGACAGATTCAGCAAAATGGTACACCTTGTGGCTGTACCAGAGACAATCAGGGCAAGTGGCTGTGCTTGTGTCTTTATTGACACCATCTTCCGACTTCATGGGTTGCCCCGTGAACTCGTATCAGACAGAGATCCACGATTCACTGCTGATTTCTGGCGTTCCGTGTTCAAATCACTCGGAACGCGCTTGAAGATGTCAACATCTGATCATCCAGAGTCAGATGGTCAGACGGAACGTGCCAATCGTGTCCTTGAAGAGATACTTCGAGGATACGTCCACTCCTTTAAGAGTTGGAGTGAGTTTTTGCCGATGGTAGAGTTTGCCATCAACAACTCGGTGCATGCGTCCACGACACATACACCGTTTTACGTGAATGGCTTGCGCCATCCGCGTGTACCCACCTTACTAGAGTGTAACTCTGGTTTAAGGGGGGAGGGACTCGCGCGAGCAAAAACCGATTTGGTTCACGCTCATCACGCTCTGACGAAGAAGTCATTGCGTTTGATGCCGATATCGATAACATCGATATCGAAGAAGATGATGCCAGTGAGAGTGCGGAAGCCCTCACTGAAGACAATGATCCCAGTGAGAGTGCGGAAGCCCTCACTGAAGAAAAGGTTGTTGTCGCTGCAGTGCGCTCACAGCACACTGAAGCTAACGAGTCATCAGATGAGTTCATACTGGCTCGTGAAACGGTAGTCCGTTTTGTGCAAGACTCCATCGCCGAAGCGGTGGATAAGCAAAAGCAAAACGCTGACAAGAATGGAAGGGCAAACACTCTTTTATTTAATAAAGGTGACTTAGTCCTACTGTCTACGGTTAATCTACCAAAACATGTAGTGACTAACTTGGGTAGCAGTAAACTACTACCCAAGTACATTGGCCCATTTCGTGTATTGCACCGCCTAGGCAATGCATACACGATCGAGTTACCACGTAAGATGCGAACGCATCCCACGTTTTACGTTGGTCGGCTTAAGCCGTACCATCAGTACGCTGCTTCTTCCGATGAAGAACGCCCTTGCGCTCAAGCATCTCGCAGAGAGCCTTGTGCTCCCGATGGTGGGCATCAACAAGGGTCTGAAGAGCAGTTATCTCAGCCCGAGACCGATCAACAATCCCACGAGCTACCCTTAGCTCGTCACGAAGAGATGTCAGAGATCTCTCGTTCTCAAGCTGAGCAAAGGCAAACTCAGCTCGATGCTTCGAGGCAGTGTCCACCATCTGGAGACGCCTATTCCGCTCATGCTCGAGATCGTCGCGTAACCCTTGCGTTACGCGATCAAAGAAGCTCTCGGGAACACACCGATCCACATGATCGTGTGGAGAGCGTCTTTCCTCCTCCTCCACCTCCATTAGAGGACTCTCGCGGTGGCCAGCGCTATCTAGTAGAGCAGCTGTTGAACCACCGCGACGTGAACGGACGTCGGACGAGTTACCTCGTCCGGTGGCGCGGCTATCCCCCGTCCTGGGATTCTTGGGAGCCCCGCTCCCAATTGATGGTTGACGTACTGGGTCTGGTCGAGCAGTACGACGCGACACATCCTGTGCCGCAGAAGGACCGCCGGAGAAAGTCTTCCCGGCACGGTCGTAAAGGGATTTCAGGTTGTCAATCCCTTCGTACATCTCAGTAGAGACACGTACGCGCCACCACGGGCTGGTAAGGAGGTAAGCCTCCTTAGGTGCTCGTGCAGAGTTGTTCACACAACATGGGCACGAGTCTCCCCAAGAGAGGCAGGGTAATCCTTTCTCCCTTGACAGACGATGCAGCTTATAGCGTGCACCTGTCGGGGTTCGCTTTTCAAACTTATCACGAGCTTTGATAAGTTTGTCGTTCCAAGCGTCACGACCTACATCCTCGAGATTATGGATGTAGGCGTTCCACGCCTGAAGTAGTGAGGGACCATCACGTTTGTGATTCCCACTGTACCATCGATGTCTGAAGAAAGCATCGATGAAGAACTCATGTTCAGCGCGATAGTCTTTCGCGCTGGGGTCAAGGTGATGAATCCTCGACGAATCGAACAATCGTGTTCGATAACGATCACTCGTCGTCGCCGACAAGTGATCCATGACAGATTTAGGAGGCATCCATGCCTTCTTTTCTGGAGCGAGACGCAACACATTGCGGTCCCGCTCTTCCTGCGACGTGCCGACAGAAGTACTGGCACCTCGCTGTGAAGTGGTGTCCATTGGAGAAACGACACCACTATTAGCGCCCGAGTCTCGCGACCTCGAGCGCCTTCGCTTCGGCGATGGTTCATCTGACTCATCAGATGAACCAAAGATGCTGCGACGCAAAGCATCGTCCATGCCACGCTTGGCAGGCGGCTTGGATTCAATTGCCGTCGATACGGATCCGTCATCCGCATCAGGAGAGTACGAGACACCGAGCTCGTACTCTGTGAAGACACGAGTGTCTTCATGACCAGCGCCTGCATCACCAGGTGATACAGGCTGAGTCGATTCAGCAACCGATGGGACATCAGTTGCTGTAGTTTCTGCTTCGGCGTCCGCACAGAGACGTGCAGACGCGCTCTCGGCGGCCTTGCTCGCGCATCGCATGGGCTTGTTTACCATGCGATGAGATGTTGGAAAGTGGACGCGGACCAACAAGTGCAAACCCCGTCCCAAATGATTTGGGACGAGTATCCATTTAGTCAATCAGTCACTAAAGTGACTGATGGTTAAGGGGGGGGGTGATGTAACGGGGTGAATCGTTACATAACAATTTATAAGAAATTGTTAATAGAATATAACTATAAGAGTTATATTCTCAGAATATTGTCATAAGGACAAATATTCTGTAGCACTTACAAGCAGTTCCTAATTGGTTGATATAGGCCATTATATCAACCAACGAAGACGCGCCACGACAGACGCACGCAATGAGTGGTGAGCAGATAACTGATTTACACATTTGTATTTAGACATAGTTAGATGAAGATAAATAGTGATTTATTGCAGACATTAACTATTATAAATACAGTTCTACTTTTTACTCTAACCAAGTACTCGCTTCTTCTTACCGTCTTCCTCTGCACGTACGAGTGTACGTGAAGTTACGAGGCACCGCCTTATTCTGTTATCAGAATAAGTAGCTTGTACTGTCACCAGTACAAGCTTCAGGGTGCCCCGTTACACTACGCTCCGAGCTGAAGCAGATCGGCAAGAGACAAAGTTCGATTACTGTGGAACCGTTTCACTGCTTGCACTTGAACCTTGATTACGAAACACAAGACCCATCGCTTGTTACAGGCGAGAATGGCACGGCTAGTTCATCCGACGCGCCAGCTACTGTTGAAAGGATGATCCGCAATTCATTCGACGTCGAGGTGATCGTAGACGCCAATCAGGTCCCTACGATGAAGAAGTACACGACAGCGGAATCATTTCCCATTGTGTTGACGCTGAGCGTGAAGCGTTTTACATACCATCCGGAACAGGGACCGGTCAAGTTACAGCAATTTGTAAAGTATCCGCAGTTTCTAAGTTCCCAACACAGCTACTGTCAGCTGCGTGTTGTGCAGAGAATGAATTGGACTCGTCAGCGCTGCGCCCGTCAATGGTTCTGGCCCGTTGACTCCTCTTCCTGTGTACGAGTTGTTTGCAGTCGTGTCGCAACTGAGCAAGTACGTGGTGGGAGGTCACTACACTTGCGTTAGCCGCGACAACAAAGACCAGTGGTTTCGTTACGATGATGAGCATGTAACATCGATCTCGGAGGCTGCGGCGCTCAGTGATACTGCTTACTTGTTGCTCTATATCCGAACAAGTAAACAGCCACCTGAACCGGTTGTAGTGCAGTCCTCACTTTCAAGATCCCCATTAATCAAGGCGACGAACGCTAGTGCCTCAAGATGCAAGAGTAGCAACGTCACCGGGAAAAAAGTTCCTGGTGGAAAGAATTGGAAACAGCCCGCATCTGCGTCATCAGTACTTTCTCCGGCACCTCGACTGATTCCATCCATGTCTCCAACAAAACAAGCCGTGGCAACAGCGTCGAAGGCAAAAAAGTCTAGTAAAAAGAAAGCTTGTGGGGAGGGAGATAGCAGCCAGGGTAGTGAGAGATAACTGCGTGCTTAGAAAAAACGGTTCATCACGAGAAACTGGTGTACTATCTTGAGTGCACACAAGGAGTTTCTCGCTCGAATAGAGTTCCACTATAAAGTCGTTGCATCGTTGGTCTTGTAGAGGTGCTGTAATTTATTTTGCTAATAGACGATTGACACAAGGTTAGCACGAGAGTGCCTCTGGTGCACTCGGTTGACTTTCGACACATTGCACTCATGACATTGACTAGAGTTGTCGCGAATGTGAGTGCGTCAATGGATACAGTATAGTTTGCGAAGGGATCTGCGTACTTAAGGGCTTGTGAATCTGGCTTTCGATAGCAGTTTTGTCCAGCTAGCGAGTGGTTTGTGCTGTCTACTTATCGGTGGCCTCGTGTTGTGCCCGGGGACAAGACGGCGTCCTGAGGCGTGGCTGTTATTACAAAGTGAAGGATCTAACTTGCGATAGACGCAGACTCGAGTAGGTTTGCTGATACGACACTTGATCTTGCTAGCTTACTTTGAGAGCAATTCTACAAAGCTCGTGGATGATGACGTCTAGTATATCTTGACATGTTGTCCAGCAAGTTAAACAAAGCGTTCGAGGATGTATGTGCCTTGTCGAAACTGAAAAAGCGGATTAAATTTGATAGGGTGCGAGGTAATACAATGTGGAATCCGGAGTTTGTACTGCCTACATGTAAGTAGACCACCGACAGTGTTTTCGCATGACGGACTTGTCGCCGCTGGATTTTCGCGTCGCCCTAATGAAATACTCTGCCACGGTTTCCATTTCATCACGTGGCATCACACTTGCATTGAGTTCACTATCGGGACGTGCAGGATAAATCAAGCTTAAGCACTTTCACCAAAATGAAAAAACTGAGAGGCGTTTGTCACGAATTTAGATAAACCACAGTACATTTCATCAGCCACATAACATCATGGCGAGCCACACGACCAGTTCAAGTTCAATGACATGTACGTATTGAAAGCATTAATTTCCGTGCGAGTTCACTAGCGACCGGTGTTCGGAGTCTCATGCCATCGGCAACTCAGGGACTTCCCGTGACTTCTAGAATTTGATACATACCTTCAGCAACACAGGGACTTACCGTGACTTCTGTGACTCGACGTGACATTGTAAGCACAGAACGTCGTCCCCTCGTTGACCCCTTTGACAGTTTGTTCACATTCGATTCATCGAGTAATACCTTTGTCAAAAAACAAATCTTAAAATGCACAGAGATTTTATATGAAATATTTGAAGGAAAGGTGTGGATTTAAGGAAAAGGGGTGTGAATTTAGCAATTTCCTAAAAATAATGCCTTTAATAATGGAATAAAAAAAATTGCCTTACGTCCTGTCATACTTGAGTTATCGTATACTTCATTTGCCTACTTGTGTTTTAATGAAGGACTTAACCTATTACAATCACTGCCACACGCAATAGGCTGATACGTCTGACTTTCTGAAACAGATGAGATCCTCTTTACGATCACGCGGATATTCACAGCGACGGTGTAGACTTATTCTATGCTCGCGAATCGATGCTTCATTACATCAATACGTACTTGCAGCGTGCAAAATGGAACAAGCTAAATGCCGTGGAAAGAATTTTGTTCGAATCTAGCGGGTGTGGAGGACATTAAAATTAAGATGCGCAGCAATTGCTACCATTTATATAAATAAATACAAAAAAATAGTTTTGTAGCACATTGAAACAACGCAGCAGGTGGTGTGATTCCAGATACTATTGCTGGAGAGCCGGATATGAAGTGCTATCGAATACAGTACGACGAAATCTTGTTGAAGTTCGTATTGCACACTTTAATACAGAGTTCCTTTAATATAACACGTCACATATGCTAAGGTGTATTAATACGTCAACCATATCATAAGTCTTGTGTATTGTCATCGCCTCTTGAACTATGCAATTTCAGCTTGATGATCTGGAGGAATTCTTGTGGGCACTGACTAATCCATGTAAAAGCACTAGAATATGGGCGTCACCACAGGTAAAGCCTTTCGATTGATAAAATAAGGGTATTGCTAATCACATCTCACTTTTTACTAAATACACCCCATTCACGACACCCATAACACAACACAATACAGCTGTTTTCGACAAACATCGCGCCATCATACCTCTGTACCACTACTACCACATAACATTCGGTATAAATCGTACAAATGATGGGTGATTTACCAAGAAGTTCTTCATTGAGTACGCAGTGAATGCACTGAAGATCTTTCCCTTCGCAAAAGATTTGATCGACGACCACAATACACTCGTTACTACACGTGTAATACATCTTGGGCGCTATTTGCAACTTTCATAAAAGGCAATACCCAGTTTTAATCGAAAAAGGTGCTAAAGATTGGAACGAAAGTTTACGTGTCACGAATGTAATCGGATGCATCCGTTCAAGTGAAGATCACCTCCACAAACAAGAAGTTGTATTATTTAGCTATACGCATGATAATCGAACCTATCATAAATCTGTGTTAAGACCGGGCCATCGGCGGTCAGAGAAAGCTAGGTTGGTAAATCACTAATCACTTACACGATGATAGAGAATACTGTACGATTATGGTCGTACATGTGTATGGTGTTGCAATGTTTGTCGTACAAACCATATTGTGGTACGGTAGGGTGTGGTGTATGGGGTGTATTATTGAGGGTTACCGGTACAATCCGAACCTAGCGCGTAGTTCTTACGAGATAGTTTTTACATCGGTAATTACCTCAGAGATGATTAGACGCGTAGGATGATTGGACGCGTGTAAATCAGGTTGATTAGATGCACCATGTGATTGGATGCAGTCTAGGGTAGGCAGAAGTTAAGACCTATAAATCAATCACTTTCGAATCCTCCCTCAAGTGAGCAAGTGTTCTCTGCTTCGTTCTCTCCGGTCTCTCCGCTTCGTTTTCTCTTCGCCTCGCGCTCAAGTTACAACAGGTTATGAGCCCAAGCGCCATGTCGTCCAACAACACCTCGGCCAGTGTCTCCATCGATAAGTTCGATGGGGACAACTACTCAACCTGGTGTCGCTACATGCGCGGCGTGTTTCTGACGAAGTCAGTCTGGTACGTCGTGAACCGCGAAACGTCTCCAACCTTCACCGACACGCGAGCTTCCGACGAGTACGTCAAGGCGAGCAACATCGCGTTCGGGTTGATGTTGCTCCACATGGACGCCGACTACCACCATGTGGTCGACAACTGTGAAGAAGCATGGACAGCGTGGTCGCGGTTGAAGATGCTCTATGGTGGGTCGCAGAAGGCGGGACGCATCTACCTCAAGCGCCAGCTGTTCAGCATCAAGATGGCGGAAGGTGCCAACGTCTTGCACCATTGCAACGAAGTCTTGAACATCGGCGCCAAGCTCAGCAGCATCGGTGCCAAGATGGAAGACGAAGACATTGCGATCTGCTTACTGCGCAGTCTGCCCAATAGTTTCGAGAACGTGGTTCTCAACTTGGAGATGAGCAATGCAGAGCTGCGCACGCAAGATGTGGTCAAGGTGCTGACTAACGAGCACATCAAGCGACAAGGCGAGAAGATGACAACGGCAACGACAACGGTGAAGACTGAAGATGCGACAAAGGCATTCAGTACCGAGCGCAAGCCCTACCAATGCACATACTGCGGCAAGGTGGGGCACACGGCAGAGCGTTGCTGGACGAAGCAAAAGGATGAAAGTCGAGGAGCCCAACGCGGCGGCAATGGTCGTCGACGCGGGGCAAACAATGTCCACTGGCGACATTATGATGAAGGCAACAGCTACGATCGAGTGGCGTTTGCAGTTTCGTTCGAATGCGGAGTTTCGACGAACAAGAATGGACCAGGAATGTGGGCCGTTGACAGCGGGGCAACACATCACATCTGCCACGACAAGTTCAAGTTTGCAAGCTTGGTCGAAGGCAATGATGGCGAGATCCTGGTGGCTGATGGCAACAAGGCGGCCATCAAAGGTGTGGGGACCATCGTGGAAAAGGTGATTCTGCCAAACGGGGAAGAGCGCGAGATCGAGATCAAGAACGCGCTCTATGTGCCCAGCATGAGCAAAAATCTGCTCTCGGTGCCGCAGATTAACAAGCACGGCAACTTCCAAGTGGTGTTTGACGGGGATACGATGTACGTCGCTCGCAAGGATTCCAATCAAGTGGTGGCAGCTGCGGATCTTGTAGACGGACTCTACTGGCTTCGCACGACGCAGCGATCGGCCAATGCGACATCACTCAGCAACGCTGTTGATCTACATGCACGAATGGGCCATGCTCCAGTAGACGTGCTTCGCAGGATGGTGACAAGCCACATGATCAAGGACGCTCACATCCCTTCCAAGCCGAATGGATCAAGTGTGTGTCGAGGATGCCAAGAAGGGAAGATGGTCCAGAAACCGTTCCCGAGCAACCGTGACAAGCGCACCTACAACACCTTCGAGATGCTCCACTTCGACATCTGCGGACCCATGGAAGAAAAATCTCTGGGTGGCAGCAAGTATCTGCTGCTGATCGTGGATGAAGCCAGCGGATGCATGAAGGGTTTTTGTCTGCATTCCAAGTCAGAGAGCGAAGAGTGCATCAAGAAGTACATCACGATGATACAGACGCAGTTCAACAAGAAGGTCAAATTTGTGCGACACGATGGAGCCCGCGAATTTGCGACGAACTCGCTTCAAGATTTCTACGAAGTCGAAGGCATCGAGCAACAAACCACGGTGCCATACGCACATCAAGCCAATGGAACTGCTGAACGCGCGATTCGAACTATCGTCACCATCGGTCGTAGCATGCTACATTATGCCAAGCTGAACAAGTGTTTCTGGGGTGAAGCGGCAATGACGGCCGTCTATGTGAAGAACCGTTTGCCGTCACCCAAGATTCCACACAAGACACCGTTCGAGATTGTCTACAATTCTAAGCCAAGTGTCAAGCACATGCGCGTTTTTGGGTGCCAAGCATACATCTTGACCCCGAAGGAGAAACGACTCAAGTGGGATCCCAAGGCCCGGG